CCCCAATCAGGGCGGGCCGGCTGGACCCCATCCATGCACGAATTTGTGCACTGGGCTTCTAGTAAATTAATGTGTGAGAACAGATATTTTTAGCCCATTTCTTCTTCTCATCAAGAAACATTCATGTTAGACACTGGTAATGCTGTCAAGAGTCATATATGCTCTCTGTTCTCAGCCCCACGGTATGGGCAGGAAGACATGTAAGTCTAAGTGTTAGATGTCAAGGTTCATAATATGGGAGCTCATTCTTCCTGGAGGGCTTATCAGAGCAACATGTTTGTCAGAAAAGAAAGTAGGTAAGAGAATTCCAGAAAAGAATGTGTGGAACATGGGCAGATTTTAGGATCCCTGTAGTTTGTTGTGATAGATGGAATGGTGTGGTGGGGATGCAGGGAGAGCAAGGCAGCAGTCAGGGCACCCTAATAATAAATGTCCTCTTCTCAGCGGGGCCCTCTGGAGGAACTTTTGAAAGATCTCCTTGGATGTTGTGAGTAGGATAAAGTGAAGCTAGCAGATTACTTTAGGCTACAGATTTAAAAGAATTCCCACTACAGTGTCGTCAGAGGAGACAGGATAAGATAAACACCCAGAAGTTAGAGCAGACAAGACTGGGGTTTGGATGAAGAAAGAGAAGTAAGTAAGGCAGATGTAAAGACCAAGTAGCAGGTGAGTGTGAGAGGAAGTATGTCCTCGGAACCTTCTAAGTGACGTGTGCTTTGTACCCTGGGCCAGGGTCTGCCTGACCCCCACCCTGGTCCCTGATAGGTCTCCTGTGACTGCTCCCATGCTTCCTAACCCTTTCCCCATCACAGCATAAGCTGAAAAGGGCACTCTTGGGTAGCTGCTTACTGGAATTCCTACTGTTCCAGACCCAATGAGCTGCTCCAGGGCTAAGGACTCACTATCTTAGCAAACCAGCTAGGAAGCTCCAGTTTGGATGGTCTATCAATTAAAGGTACAGATGATAAACTACCGCATCACTGTCATAATGTTGTTTTTTCCCTCCCTACCAGATCCAACCCTGCTGGAAGAGTAAACTTCCTACCCCATAAATGGCTTTGGACATGAAATCTGAGTGGAAGAGATGTGTCCTTTTGGAACAGAATTTTTATGAGCCATTGTTTCCACCAAATCGCTATTTTTCCATCGCCACGAGGCCTGCAACTCACCTTCCATGGACATAGAAACAAGTAAGAAATAAACCCTACTGTACAAAAAGCCACTGATGTGTGGGGTCATGTCAGTCTAGGTAGTGACAGCTGACTGGTCCAGCAGATAAGACCGTTCCCTTTGTACTTCTCTGTTGTATTCCATTAAGAATGGTCACAAATTATATCACCACTGGTATATTTTTTAATAGTTTTCAGAATATAAGCTGCATAGCTTTTTAGAATAAAAAATAAATGATATAACATCAGGTACATGCTTTGGACTCTTGGTTAAACAAACAACAAGCAATCTGTGTTTTGTTGACCACCTCAAAAAGAGTGGCAAACTTCACAGTGTAACTTGATAACAGACATGGAGATAGACAATTACATCATGGCATGTTGTCTACAAAACAACATTCTGACGGTCAGAACTTAAGTCGAACAGTTTCAAGTATTCAAGCACTGCTTTCTGGCCAAGTAAAAACTGCCTAAAAACCGTTGATGTATTTTGACTGGGGAAAAAAATAGATAGACGTAGCTTCTTAGTTCTTCTGGAGACAGCATATCTTTTCCAGAATAAAACTGGCTCAGTCCAGCTTGAAAGCAGTGTGAGGAATGATTCTTCCCCTTAACTGATAAGAAAAAAAGGAACTAAAGAAATAAATTACTACAACAGCAGGGACTATGGCACTGAGAGAATGAAATACACAAGGGGATAATCATCTTCCCATCATTGCATAGTCTCCCGAAGCAGCAAATGTGAAGGACACTGAAAAGCCACTTCATGTTTACTCAGCCCAGGGATCAGCTCCGCTTCCTGGAGCCCCCGGATGGCTGGGGCTTATGAGCACACATACAACCAGCCTCTTCCCCCAAAGAGAAGGTGGTTCTTTTCACGGGAAGCACAGTAAGAAAACACACTCAGCCTCTGAGGACTGCAGCTGTCCCAGCCACTTGACAGCTTTTGGGTCCAAACTGTGGGCTTGGCAAAGCCAAACCTTAGAGTGGGGTCAAAAGCACAGCTCCCGTCAGGCCTTTAGCCAAAGAACTGGCACAGCCCCGGGCTCCTGGCAGCACCTTCTCAAGGCAGGTGTCCAGGGTCCCTTCGAGGGAAAGCAGACAGCTGGGCCCACGGAGGGCCTGGCCTCCTCTCAGGCCAGGGCTTCCAAGACAGGCTGGCAGGGCAGTCTCACAGGTACAAGACCAGACGCCTGCTGCTCCTTCGCTGCCCCACGTCTGTTTTAAGAACAATAGCTTAGGCCAAGGAACCCAAGTTTCCTCTGAAATCATGTCAAAATGTACACTGCAATACATTTTTTTGTAGCTGAGTGAATTTTTATAAATCAGACCTAAGATAAAATATAACTTAGAGCTGCAAATTCAGAAGTGTCCAGAAAGGAGCACCTGGGCAAGAAGTAGCTCTTGACCGTGGTTTCAAGTCTCAACTTTGGACTATGTTCTTGCTGGCCTACAGGTGGTCAGAGGCTGTCACTAACTCAAACCACTGCCTGAGGGCATCGCTGAGCGTCTCGGGGAGTGCGTTCACGTCGCGAAGAATTATGTAGAAGGGGAATGGGAACTCCTCCATGTAGGATCGAATTTCAGGCAGCTCTCCGGGTCCTTTAAATATTGGCACTTTAATGTCCAAGATAGAATCCTGCCAACAGAAGACATTTTGAAATAAATCAGTGTCCTTGGCTAGCTCTTCCAGGCTCTCTCTCTCCCCAACATGTTTTAGGTCTCCTGTGTGTAATTCCTGCCTCTGAGAGTAGCTTTCATTACTAAGTAAAACAAAATTTTCAGAACTCATTGAGGAGGAAGGTCTTTCTGAGCACCCCTTCCAGAACAGGCACTGAAAGGGGGATAAGAAAACACAATTTCCCTGTGAAAGTGTGTCCCATTCTC